CCCTGTAAAAATGATAAATTAAAAATAAAACAAAGTGGTTTACAAATGATATCAGCTCCATCTACAAGAAGTCGTGCCAGGAAACAGTCATAGCCTGACGATTTTTTCTTATCAAGATGCCTTAATGTCAAAGCTACCTCCTGTTCTGTGGTTGGTACAAGAAAGAATGAATTCACATTGGGGTCATTAAGATAGTGATCAAAATTGTTTGGGGGATTGGTAATATTTGAGGCAAGGTTGGGTCCAATATTAACAAAGTAGTTATTGAAAGCTTCTGCAATGTCAGTGGGATTTTATCGGTGTTATCAACATTAATTTTTAGTTCTTTGGGTAAAGTTTGTTTTATGTTTTCAGTGGAACCAAGTAAGTCATTGATAATTTCCGAAGTTTTACCAGAATTATTATGATACTTTAAGTTAGTGAATAGATCCGAATAATAACTTTTCTCTGCTTTTCTTAATACACGGGTAAGCATGTTGCGATATATCTTATAGGTGGCAAATTCATGAGAGGCGTGATTACTATTTAAAACTTTGATGTACAGTTTATGTTTTTTCTTAATTGATTTTTTAATTGCTGATGTAATCCAAGATTTTTCCTTCTTCAAATTGTTATACTTTACATTTTTACTCACAATGGGTGCATATTTATTACATATCTCATTAAAACTGGCGTAGAATGTGTTGTATGCCAAGATAACATCCTGTTGTCTGTAGATCCTTTCCCAAGATTGAATAGACAAATCGTTTTTAAAATTGTGAGATGTGAGTAAATATATTTCTTTGAGAATGACGTCATGCAATATTCTTTATTATACGCATTCCCTTGCACGCAAATGTGATACATAGTTTAGAATATCAACATCCGGGATATGTTATAGCCCAGAAAGAACAGCCAATCAATATGGTGATCTGGTCGTCAAGTTCAGTTGTGATTGGCTTAGACATCAGATAAATTGAACTGAGTAATTGTCATAATGAGAACATGTGCCCAAAAATTAGTATAACAATTCTGAATTATTCTAAAATTGTATAAACACTTTTTACTGGCTAAAATTAAGGTGAGGAAAATTCTGATAAAAATGTTTAAAAACAATAAAGTCGTCATTATTTCGTTAATATTGATCTTTCTTAAATAACACTACATGTACTATATTAATCTCATTGTTTCGTATAGAGTAATAAACACGGGTTGTATAAAAAATATATAGTGCAGCCACTTATCTACGAAAGTTTGTCAATACAAATATTAGCCAGCATGTTCCTCAAATAATACTACTTGTACTGTAATTAGTTCAATGTATTTCATAGAATATAACATGAATTGTTCCCAAAATAAAAAAAAAATACTGCAACTTTTTTATTTATACTCACGATGAAACCCACATATCGTTTTACTACACTTAACCGATTGACAGCACTATTGGTTACACTTCAGTTCCCATTATCAGCAGTAGAAATGACTCCACTAATTTCTACGTCTAATCAATGTTTTATTTTCAGCTAAAGTTTACCCCTTATCTTGGAAAATTCACTCCCTACTTTTACCAAAATTGAATTTGGTTGACATTTCCTAGTGATTCACCCCAAAACTGAAGATGATCTTATAACAAAAGAATATATATAAGATGAAAAATTGACCAATATTTAAAAAAATATATATATAAAGAACACATAACAAAATCGAACCTGGCCGAGGCTCCAAACTGGTTAATATAAAATACAAAAAATCAAATAAAAATATATTGTTAGTCTCAGGAAAAGTTTATGACGAAGTCGACGACCGCAACGCGGACAGTCATATATATTGACATTCGTTAACGATATGATACTGGTAAGGTAAACTCAACTCTGCAGCCACCGTTAACTCCGATTCTATTGCGATATGATGTTTTGCGATTTCAAATCCTCTATGAGTAGACGAATTGTGGCCTTGGCAGCTTCATCTGCAGTTTGGAAGTGATTTTTCTTCTTGGAAGTATTACTTGCAACATCAGTTGCTACACAATCGAACACTAAAGGTTCACTCAGGCTATGGAATCTCCCCTTTGTGTCATACTCGATTGTACGACCCATGTACTCAATCTGAAATAAATGAAATATAAATAAACAGGGAATAATATTAAACTGTTGAATCTGATAATTTATTTAAAGCGGGAGGGTCGTCATCTGCGCACGCGCGGAAATTGAGGCCCAGGTGACGCTAACAACACACGCTAAGAACGCAAAGGCTCATGAGTTTGTAAACAATGACACGCTATGGCATGCACAAGTGACGACTCGCCCGCTTTAATAAAAAAAATTGTGTTTATTTAACCTGAGACTTTAGCGGTAGACAATAGATTCGCTTACATTCGAGACAATTAAAGCTGAGGGGTCGTCACCTGTGCACGTGCGGGAATTGAGTCCCAACCGACGATAACAACGCCCTGCTTATAAGCTCATGGGTAGACGCTTGTTTGTAACAATTACACGCTGTTTTCCGGGTATTATCACCGCCTGGCAACCATCACGGTGAAAACTCTCAGAAAACGATACTTCCCTGGACAGTGTAACAAGATTACCCCTGCGTCTGCAACATATATAAATTTGGTTGTTCAGGGTTACTTTGAAGTTGAGTTCATACTGTTTTCTAGAATTTAGCTGTTTTCACCGGCTCTTCGACCAGCGTTTCACACCAGCTTGCGCAAAGCCCATATAAATGCATGGTTCAGTGGTGCGCGTTTTAGAAACATGGAACACCTTGTGACGTATCACCGGCCCCGAGAATAGCCAATTGACGCATGCGTAGTTGATACCCCCCCCCCCTCCCGCTTTAACCTCTGTGGTGTGGTGTGTTGCAAGTGACTATTTTGCACATTGTTTACCTGTCCTTTCGATCCTTTCAAAGAAAGCAATAAATAGTCTAGCATACTGGTCGCACCGAGGGATGACGTGATTCCGCCATCTGTGCTGAGTGTTTTCGTTTGTCCTGTAGAAAATAAAACGATACAAGTAATAACTAATTGTACCAACCAGGTTTATCAACACTCCGTGCATTCCACGTTCCTGTTAAATTCATATTTATCTTGAAAACTGATTTGAAAATTAGAAGGACCATCAAGGTCCAAGTGTTAAAACTGCCTTGTGAAGTGAAAGAATACACGTAAGGTCAGAAAATACTCAATTACGCATGCGCTAAAGTTCATTGACTGGGGTTTTCCCAGCATGTCATTGGAAGACGTTCGTTTATGTTCTTACCTCCGTCCACTAACTGTTCTTCCAATTCTCGATGCTCTTGTAATTTCTTTTGAGTTTCCTGTAATTGTTTCATTTTTTGCAGTTCCATTTCACATTCCAGCACATTAGTTATAAGTGGACTTCGTTCTATTGATCGCAATATAGTCTTCAAAAACTGCAAGTTATCTTCGCTAATAAAACCAGCCTTTTCTAACTTTTGAAAGATCGCCGCTGGATCTTTCAGACCCTGCATGTCTCTTATGGATATTTGCTTATCCGTCAGTAAATTCCTCAATTTACTTTCATCATCATCTCCTAGTTTCCCATTCAATTCGTTGTAAAGCTTTGACAAAGGATGTATACACGCCATTTTGAAATGTTTCTGTTTCACGTCCTATGATTGCGCCACGGACTGTCGAACTCTGTATCACTAACGTCAGATGAAAAAGTGTCGGGATACAACTCGGTACGCGGAATGAATGCGTTGGCAAGCAGTTAACTAAATGCAGCGCGGTACGCAAAATGAAAGTGTTTTTAAATGTTTATTTTGGAAATCCCCGCATTATGGGTTTTTCCACAAGGGCTATAAATAACTGCAAATCGGTCACGTGAATCATAAACAACTTTCAGCTTGTACAAACAGCGACCTTATTTTGACCTCGTATCCCCGATAACCATATTCTCAGTAACACTGTATTTGTCATGTATTCAACAACAATAGTTGGCCCGACAGCGGGAGTAAAATCTACGGTCACAAAAAGTGGTACTTGTAAAAACACGGTGATGTAATGCTCGTTATAAAAAGCGTGGTATTCATGGTATTTAGTAGTGTGTATGAGCCCTTTCTAATAACAATTATCATATTTGGCGGGAAATGAGACCAAGTGTAACGAGGGAATTAGTCATGCTATTTTTCTAAATTTAGGGGTACTCAAATATATTTACTACACGCAGTACCTACGGTATCATTCAATAAAATAAACTCAATAACGGTTCGAATAAATATATTCAAATATCAAATAAAATGTATTTTTACACACAATAAAAATATAGAAATTGTAATTGTCACGCAAGATTGAATAAAAAAGGACAGTCCGAACTAAACAGTGGGAAAAAACGTTCGAATTCTCTATGGAGAGTACTTGTACCTGTAAACGCAAGCTCATGGATATTCATGAAGTAATAGACCTCGGCGAGTGACTTACTTCACTGAGTCGTTTTGGCATAGTATCGTCGAGTTCCGACACATATTCATTTGGAACTGTCCACAAGCTTCTATTTTACTCACATATAAATTCTCGGTGTCAGCGATTGGTCAATGATCCTTTTGGTATATTCAGATAATTCCCTAACTAAATTTACTCTATGATTCAATGTTTTAAAATAAAAATTATGCATCTGATACTGTGACCTCGATAAGAATATTCATAAACTTCCACTGACTGGTATTCCCCAGGAAGCGCGTTTTGAAATAATTTCCGCTCTAGATTGGTTAAAATTTGCATGGGAAATGACATGACTATTTATTGCGCAAAATTGCAATGCAAATGATATGCAAATGATATGCAAATGATATGCAAATGAGTGTGTTCTCATAGAGTTAACTACGATACTTGTTTACTGAAATAAACATCTACATACATACACAAAAAAACTAAAAAAATAAATAAACCTATTTATTTGAACTAAAATGCACTAGGACATTAGAAGACATTACGTTATGTTATTAAACCGGATTTGTTATTTTTATTACGAAAACGATCAAATGACAGACGTGTAAATACTTTCTGGGAGTCTGTATGTAGGATCCGCGGTAAAAAAAAAAAGTGGGATCCGAGAGTCCTTTTTTAATTATGTGGGGATTTGACCTTCTTTATCACCCTCATGATGAACTTTGATTTCCCTTGTGATAGTTTGATTTCACATTTAAGTCTAAATTTAGAATTAAGATTCTCTAATACCAACATCATATATAATAGAACTTTATTAAAAAACTATCCCGGAGCCTATTCCTACTTTTCGTCTTGATCTGAGAACACCTACCCCGACTCTCACCCCTACCGAGACTAGCACTGAAAAGTACAGATGATACTTCTGGAGAATCATTATTTGGTAAATTAAATAATGTCATCATCATTTAGGTATTGTGAAATGCACAATACAACAAATACAACACAATCGCAAAAAATCGAACTTGTAATTTCAAAATTCGGATTTGTTAGCAAATCTAGAAATTGTATCAAATATATCACAGTTTTTAATAGACTTTCGAGATTTTCTAACGGGAAATATAAAAAGTATTATTGTTAGGTAAATAAGGTCTCTCGATGAAACCTAATCCACAATTTTCGACACTAAAGCCTATACAGGTGGTATAGCGATCGGTCATTTCGAAACCGTTCGAAAACTAAAACAGCCACAAACACGAGGTACATACCCTTCACGCACATTGTCGTGATTGCATGATGTACAGTTGGCAAATAAATTTGGCACATTCTTGCCCCAACTTTGAAATCACTGCAAATGTTTTATAACTAAAAACGTGGAGTGTTTTACTTAAAGTCGCAAATGAGTATTTTTTAAACTGAAAGATGTTTTTGCAAATAAAATGTGTTTGCACCAGAAGCACGTATTGAATAGTGTTCATTATCTCGACACTTTTCAAACAAGGGCGGTAGGCTAAAGTGCTTGGGTTTGTACAATACTAGAGATAAAAAAAAATAATAC